CTTGAGTTGCTTCATAGGGGCTATGCAATTGTACTATTCCTCACCCACTGTCCCTGTGATATCCCTGTTTGAACATTGCCCTTTGCATCCCCCAGCCTTGTACAACAGAGCACCTTCCCAGGCAGGAAATGAGTGCATCTCTCTGCCCTGTGTGCTTTTGGAGGCTTCTGATGTTTCCTCACCCCATGCAGTCTTGCAGTGGCTCTGGGCTTTATGTTCCAACTGCATCCAGGTCACATCTTCAGTCTCCCCTGGATGAACTTCTTTCTCTGGGGCCCATGCTTCCTGGGAAGTGTAGATGCTGAAATCCAATTCTGAAACTAGTGGACTTTCTAGACACATCACTGAAGAACTGAATTCAGTGCAGGGTTGTGTGTCCACTCCTGGCCACCAAAGTTTCACCTATTTAATGATTTTATTGGTTCTTTATAATTATACCTTATAATGGGATTCATTGTGACATTTTTAAGCATATACATGATGTACTTTGAAAAACCTCATTCCCCAGGACCAGCCCTCCTTCCTGGAACACTCTTCTACTTACTGGTTTCTTATTGTTAACTATTTTTTTTAAAAAATAGTACATTATAATTATGTACAAAATTGGGATTCATTGTGGCATTTTTGCACATAGACATAGCATAATTTGTTTGATTTAATTCCCCTGTATTCCCAACATTCTCCCCTCCTTCCTCTCTCCTGATACATTTCTTCTATTTGATTGGTCTCCTTCTACTTTTGTAATATCCCTTTTTTCACTCTTGATTCTAAATATGAGTGAAAATATTTGACCCCCAACTTTCTGAGTCTGACTTATTTCAGTTACCATTTTGTTGTCTAGCTCCATCTATATACCAGCAAGTGACATAAATTCATTCTCTTTTATGACTGAGAAAAAACTCAATTGTGTGCATAGACCACATTTTCTTTATACATTCATCTGTTGACAAGCACCTAAGCCTGTCTCATAACTTGAGCCATTGTGAATTACACTGTGATAGGCACTGGTATTCACACATTGCTACAATATGCTGACTTTTGTTCTTTTAGATAAATACTAAGGAGTTGAATAGCTCTGGTGGTTCCATTCCTAGTCTTGAGAAGTACCTGTAATACTTTCCAGAGCAATTACACTAATTTGCAATCCTACCAGCAATGTATAAGTGTGCCTTTTTTCCTGTATTGTCATCAGCATTTATTGTTATTTGTCTTCTTGATGATTGCCATTTTAACTGGAGTGAGATGAAATTTCAATGTAGTTTGACTTGTATTTGTCTGATTTCTAGGTATGTTGAGCATTTTCTTTTAATGTATTTGTTGTTCATTTGTATTTCTCCTTTTGAGAAGTGTATGATTAGCTCATTTTCCCATTTATTGATTGGTTATTTGTTTTTCTGGTGTCATTCTTTTTTAGTTCTCTACCTATTCTGGATATCAACCTTCTATCAAAGACTAGATGGCAAAGATTTCCTCTCATTCTGTAGACTCTTTATTCACACACTTGTTTCTGTTGCTGTGCAGGAGATTTTAAATTTTATTCCATCCCACTATAGATTCTTGGTTTTAGGAGTCTTATTAAGGAAACCTATGCCTGTGCCAATATGTCAGAGTATTGATGCTATCTTTTCTTCTAGCAGTTGCAGAGAGTGTGGTCTAGTTCTTAGGTTTTTGATCCACTTGGAGTTGATTTTCTGTGCAGGCTGAGAGATAGGCATTTATCATTTTTCTACGTATGGGTATCCAGTTTTCCTAGAACCATGTGTTTAAAAGGCCATCATTTCTCCAATGTATGTTTTTGGCATCTTTATCAAGATTCAGATGACTGTATCTATGTGGAGTTTTCCTTTTCTGTGTCTTTTATCCTATTCCATTGGCCTTCATGTTTGTTTTGACACCAATTCCATGCTACTTTTGTTACTATAGTTCTGTAGTATAATTTGAGATCAAATAATGTAATGTCTCCAGCATTGCTCTTATTGTTCACTGCTTTGATTATTCTGGGGCTTTTATTTTTCACATGAGTATTAGGACTGTTTATTTCTAGTTCTGTGAGTAAGCTAGGTGCAGAATATGAGACCAAAGTGTAATAGTTGTATATAAGAGATGCTAAGTATTAGTTAATATGAGTCACTTAATGCAATAGTTGTCATACCGATGTTCAAATTGCTGAAATTTTCAAAACAAAGTCCTTTTATCTGGTGTTTCAATTTTAGAAGCTGCCAATGGTCAGAATGTCTTTTTAAGTCTTGTATCCTTTGCTGTTTTCAGCTTTCACCCAAATTGGCCAAATTTGTTAGGTGAGTGCATATGCTGAATTAGGTTCCCTCATTGCCTGGCCACCTCTGCTAGAGAAAGTTGGGGAGCATGGAGATTAATAACTTTATACTCTCAAAATGGCTTTATTATTTCTGGGGGTAAGAGTGTAAATCTGTTAGATTAGCTGTCTACTTCCTTCATCTGCTTTGTGTGTAGAGCAATCTATGTTGAATTGTTCCTCCCACTCTGAGAGTCCCTGTTTGTGTGCTGTGGAGAGGTATGGGGAAGCCAATTCTGGGTTTGGGGGAGGTGGGACTTTCCATCCAATCTTGATTTGCACCACTCCTCTACCCCATGTCAGCCATAGTATTTATCCCAAAGACCAGGCTGCCAATTTCAAATAGAAGCATCTTTTTTTTTTTTTTCATTCTCTACTCTTCAGACTGGTAGAGTGTGCTCACTCAGTTCCTCCATAGTGTGAGTCCAGGAGTCTCTTCTATGATCAGATTGGCTGTCATTATGGGCACCTACAATCCAGTGAAAATGAGAGCCTAAATGGAGATTTGGTCTTGGATACTGAAAATGAAAATAAAACACGTACAAGGAAAAAAAAAGGAAAAAAAGGGGGAGAGGAAAAAATCCAGTATAAAAGAGAATGATTTCTGAGGAAAAAAAAAAAAACGTAAACTGCAGGAATTCCTAGACTGCTGACTTGGGAAGTACAATCACCAAGTCCCTTCAAGCTAGCAGTTGCTGCCCCACTCTGACCACCTCTGCTAGATAAATACTAAGGAGTTGAATAGCTGTGGTGGTTCTATTCCTAGTCTTGAGAAGTACCTGTAATACTTTCCAGAGCAATTATACTAATTTGCAATCCTACCAACCCAATAAGGCTCAACTACATTTGATGGAGATTGACGGTTCTCCCCCAGCTGGAGAGTCAAGTACTCTCTGTCTAGCACACATAGCTCAGCTTTACTGTTTATTTTTTGTTCTGATTGTTGATATGTTGACCAGAATGTCTTTTAGCTTGTTGGAGGAGTGCTTTTCCTCCCCCCTGAACCACACTATGCTTGACATCACCCCCCTCCATTGCCTTTGTTAATTCTCTATTTTCAGTTTGCCTCAGACCCTCTAGTTTAGTTCACTAGTGGGGAGTTGCTGCAACACTGGACTCCTCTGTGTTACTAATTTCCTATCCTGTTTATTTTTCTAAATTTTATTTCAGTCAGAATTTTGGAGAGATAAGAGATAAATATACGTACTTAGAAAATTTTAATCAGAAGCACATTCTAGAAATATTTAAAATTTCAAACTGGTTATATGATTTGGTCTTAAATGGAAGAAACTATATGCAGGATGGTGACACAGATTAGAACCCAAGGGAGAAGTGGTTTCAGGCTGGTATGGACAGGTATAGTGTTCAGAAAGGAGTTCTTCAGACTTTGGAAAAGGATTCTTATTGGTTAGATTCTGATTTCACTGGCAATTCTCTCCTTATTTCACTTTTAGGTTCCAATGGAATTTATGTTACAATAAGTTGGTCAGGGAAGAGTTTTATTATTATTAAGTCACAGAGCAGACTGCTCTCATTTGTTTGGCATGTTTCTCACCTGTATGGGCTCATGGCATGCTTGACTCAGGTGAGAAAAACCTCTCCTTTGTCTTCTGAAACTGCCCAAATTTCCTTTTATTTCTGGTCTGCTGGTTGTACTCTCTCCTGTCTTATTTTCATGAATATTTGCTACCTTTTTTTTGGGGGGGTCTATTTTTAATTATTTCCAGAATCAGGGATTTATGCCATATCTTCCTAATCCTTATCATTCTACTTAAGTGTGTCTGTAGGTGGGTTTCTGTTAGTCTCCCTTTTAGTGTGATGTTCCCATAATTGTGCATAATATACAAGTCTGTTCCAAACATTGACAATGACAGCGGGACTCTCACTTTCTTTTATTAATCATGTGGTACTTGAATGATTTTCTCATAGACATAACAAATGTCATATTTTTTGACCTGAAACCAAGGAGTCTTCATACTTTCTGAAAAAGAAAATTGTGCTTTTATTAGTTTGGGTAGATTGATTAGTTGATGACATGTGATCCAGGCTGAGATTTAGTATGAGTCTCTTGTTTATTTTGCTTTTTTGCTTTAGCAACAAATAAATAATTTGTTTTCTTCACTCTGATGCTTACCTGTAGCATCACGTGGCCATACGAAGACTTGCCTCAGCCTAAGGCCACTGGTTCTTACCCACTCTGTCTGAGGAATGGCTTTGCAAAATACTATGGACTCTGTGTTCAGAGTCTAGAATACAATCTTCTAGAATACAATCTTCTGTGACTAATTTTCAGTTAAATTGTTGTTCTCTTCTCCTGTTACATAACTACCACTTCTCATGTACTTTAAGATTAATATCATGTACTGCAGAAGGTGACATCATCACAGATTCTGACAGGGACATGCACATTTCATCAAAGTTGGCACATCACACCTTGACATGGGATGGGCACAGCCTGTCTAGATCCCCGGTCCCGCCTCTGGCCTCCAGAGGGCGATGTTGCACAAGGAGGCGTCAGTTCTCACTGAGCATCCTCTTCCTGATGCTTCCTCACTGATGTGTGGTTAAGGGTCCTGTCACTAGAACAAGGGACCAGAGAGCATCCACACTGCTTAAAGGAAAGCCTCTTTCTAACCATTTGTGAGATTTGTCCAAGCAAGGGACTCGTGCAGCCGCCGGGTCTCCACTCAGTGCCCCAGAGGCTCAGCCCCAGCGACCTTCCCACCCGCGGATCCCTGTAGCTTTCCCCACCAGCCATGCTCCTGCTGCTCCTGCCGGTGCTCGCGATGGTTTTCACCCTGAGTGGGTACAGGCCGTTCCCTCTCCCCTCCCACCAAAGTGACCGTGTTTTGATTGGAACTGGAGAGAGACGCGTCTTCTCCACAGCCAGGTCTGCGCTGCTTTTCCTTACTCACATCAATGTTGCAGGAGGAAGCGGAGCCCAGTCAGTGACCCAGCCTGACCGCCACGTCCTGGTCTCTGAAGGAGCCCCTCTGCAGCTGAGGTGCAGCTACTCATCTTCTGTATCACCCTATCTCTTCTGGTACCAGCAACGCCCCAGCCAAGGCCTCCAGCTCCTCCTGATGTACGTGTCAGGGGCCACCCTGGTGACAGGCATCGATGGTTTCCAGGCTGAACTTAGGAAGAATGAAACTTCCTTCCACCTGAGGAAGCCCTCAGCCCATTGGAGCGACTCAGCTGAGTACTTCTGTGCTCTGGGTGGCACAGTGCCTGGGGCTGCAGGGGGAACTGAGCACAAACCTCCTGACACAGGGACTTTCTGTGACACACAGGCTCAAGCTGGGGAGTTTTCAATTTCTGTGCAGCCCAAGATAGCAGGGTGGACTGAGCCCTTGGGAATGTTTATCACCTGAATAGTTGCCTTCATGTCTGTGTCCTGCCACCGTCAGACTGGCTGAGTCCCAGATAAAAGTCTTGTGATGAATTTCTCCAGGAGGGACCCTTGTTCCCCACAACTTCATGCTCCAACTCCCACCTCACACCTGCACTCTGAAGAACTTACAGCATAGCTATAAGGCCTCTAAAATTAAAAAGGCAGCAGAACTTTTATTTAAAAAAGTCACTTCTAGCATCCACTGTAATGATTAGCATTGCCTCAAAGGACAGTTAGTGTCTGGCTACAGACATCATCAAGTTGGTTTATTATTTATTTATTTATTTATTTATTTTTTGGTGTGTCACTTCTTCTAGTTTTACTTCTGTACCCCTTTTCATTTCTATTTGGAGATTTCCTGACACAAAATTTATACTTTCATTGTCCTTTATTTCAATCAGGTCTACACTTTTCGGGGACATGACTATTTTTAAAATTTTTGTGAAAACACTTAAGTTCTACTTTTTTTTAACTATAAGATCACAACTCAGTGTGTGTAACTAGGGGCAAAATATTGTACAACAGATCTCTTGAGCTTTTTTATCATGACTGAAACTTGGTTCTCCTGGACCAGCATCTCCCCATATTACCTTCCCATAGTCCCTGGCAACCACCATTCTACTCTGCTTTGAGTTTGACTCATTTTGATACTTCATCTAAGTGTAATCATGCAGTATTTGACCTTCTATGACTGCATTATTTCACTTAGCATCATGTTCACAAGGTTCACGTGGCAAGGTCACCATATTTTTAAAGGCTGAATAATATTTCATTTATGCATATGCCACATTTTGTTTTCCCATTTATCTACTGACTGATATTAGGTTCTTTCCACATCTTGATCATTGTGAATAGTACTGCAAAACCCAAAGGAGTGAAAATATCTCACTGAGATACCAATTTCGATTATTTTGGATAAATACCCAGAAGTGGGATTGTTGGATCATACAGTAGTTATATCTGTAAATTTTTGAGGAAGATCCATACTGCTTACCCTACTGAATGCAACATTTTGCATTCCCACAACCATGTTCAAGGGTTCCAATTTCTCCATATTCTCACCACTATTTGATTGTCTTTTGTTTTTTGATGGTAGCCATCTTCATAGATGTGAGGTAAAATCTAATTGCAATATCTCATCCCTCTGATGATTGGTGAGTTGAGCAAAAAGGACCCTGAAGAGCTAAGACCATTTTAAGAAAGTAGAACAAACCTGAAGGTAGAACACCTCTTGAATTCTGAATATATTAAAGTCTTCAGTGATTAAAGCAGTGTGATTCTGTTATATATATATATATATATATATATATATCACAAAATAATGGAACAGAACAGAGCCCAGATATAAGGCCATGAATGTACATTCAACTGATCTTTGTCAAGGATACCAAGCTCACACAATGAGTGATGAAATAAAGATAAATTTTTGCTGGGAGCCATTAGCCAAGTAGGTATGACAATTTCCTTGCCAGCGTACCCCATGTTGCAGTGACATTGCATGTATGTGACCTTGCTCAAAGGACCAGGGCGGATTAGGGTGTTCCTGGTTTAGGATAATTGGGTTTAGGGCGTTCCAGTTTAGGGCGTTCCAGGTTTAAGATTATTCCTGCTGGGAATAGGGTGTATCCTGCTGCCTGAGTTCCCCTTGAGTTCTCACGGGATTCAGACAGTATATTTTGGGAGACAGAAGCCCAGTGGGTGTGGATTTGGGCAGAGAACGTGGATTTCCCCAGAACGTGATTGTAGATGGCTGGTGTGAGTTCGGGAATAAAGAGTTGCTGTTTGAATCTACAAGCTGTGTGGTGGCTCGTGATTGTGTGCCCAGCCAGACTGCGGCATTTGGCGGCCCGTGCGGGGAACTTCTGAAGCTTGGAGGTAAGTGAAATTGCTTGCCCCTGAGGAAGAGCAAAAGAATGGGTGACCATTTCAAAAAAAAACCAGTGCGTTCTTGTTTTGATTTATCTTGTTTTTGTTTCAAGCTGCCTATCCCTAGAAATTTCTCAGGGAAACTGGAAAAAATGGTTGACTAAAGGTTTGAAGTTTGTCGGCCCTGAGGAAGAGAAAATTGATACAACGATTTTTTATTCCGTTTTTGTTTCATTCAGTTTCGGTTTTGTTTTGTATTATCTTATTGGGTTGCTTTAACTTTATAGTAGATTAGAAATTAGTAAAAAACAAACAGAAAAGATGTTAAGTAAATTGTTAGAGGTTCAGACCATGGAGAAAGACATTTTAGATCAAGCAAAAGAGAAGGTCTCTCGAGCTAGTCAGACGGAGGAAGAAAATTTAAAGGAAAAGGGGTTGTTAGGAAAAAGGCCACAACAGGAGGCTGTTACTAACTCCGTTTTATCACAAGAGGGTGTAATTCAACCAACAGCCCCACCGATGGAGACAGCTGAGTGGCCCTCAAACCCCGTAGTTGATAAATGGGATCCTGAGACAGGACCTCAAAGATTAGCATGCCCTGTACTTGAACAGGCAGGAGGGCAGCGAATTCACCGTGCTTTAGATTTTAAAACAGTGAAGCAGTTAAAGGAGGCTGTAACAACCTATGGTCCCCAAGCTCCCTTCACAGTAAGCATGGTCGAGTCCATTACTAACTTGGACATGATGCCAGCAGATTGGGCTAGCATGTGTAAATCTGTACTAAATGGAGGACAATATTTGTTATGGAAGGTTGCCAATGAGGAATTTTGCGCAGAGACAGCTAGGCGAAATGCAGCAGCCGGTTACCCTCAAAGAAATCTAGATATATTGTTAGGAAAAGGACCTTATGAGGGTCAACGGCAACAAATTGAATATGATCCTGCTATATATGCACAAATTGCTGCAGACGCAGTTAGGGCATGGAAGACTTTACAAGGACATGGAGATTTACAAGGTCAGCTATCTAAGGTAATACAGAGAGCTAATGAACCTTACGCTGACTTTGTAGATAGGCTAATTCAAACGGCTGCCAAAATTTTTGGGGATACAGAACAAGCAATACCATTAATAAAACAACTGGCTTATGACCAAGCAAATCGTTGCTGCAGAGAGGTTATTAGACCATGGAGACATGAAGATTTAAACACATATATTAAATTATGTAGAGATATTAATGAACAAGGGCAAGTCTTGGCAGCTGCAGTACAACAGGCTTTAGATGCCAGGCCAAAAACATGCTATGATTGTGAACAAACAGGACATTTTAAAAGGAATTGCCCCATAGGAGGAGGGTTTAACAAAAGTAGGTATCAAAGGAATAGAATACTGGGTATTTGCCCACGATGCCGTAGAGGGAGACATTGGGCTAATGAATACCGTTCTCAAACCACCATAGAGGGTACTCCTTTATCAAAAAACGGACAAAGACCAGGTATTTATCCACGATATTGTGGAGAAAGGCATCAGGCTCCATTGCCAAAAAACGGACAGGGGGGCCCAATGCTCCAGGGCCCACAACCACAAATCTACGGGGCAGTGGAGGAACCCAGCAACACCATCAGGCTAGTGCCCAGGACACATTGTCCATTAAATCCCTCATTAGACAAACCCGAGGGAGCGCAGGGTTGGACATCTGCGCCTCTGCCAGAGCAGTATTAACTCCAGAGATGGGAGTTCAAATCATTCCCACAGGAGTAAAAGGATCTCTTCCCCAAGGAATAGTAGGCTTATTATTGGGACGTAGTTCATCTACATTAAAAGGACTTATGATAAGTCCTGGGGTAATTGATCCCGATTATGTAGGTAAAATAAAAATTATAGCTAGTTCTCCAAGAGGTATGTCAGTAATTTCACCTGGAGATAGAATAGCACAGTTGTTAATAATACCCAGCCTACATAATAAATTTCCTAGTCATAGTGTAGAAAGAGGTTCCAGGGGATTAGGCTCCACAGGTGTAGATTGGGCTATGTTGTCTTTAAATTTAGATTCTCGCCCAATGCTAAAACTAAATATTCAAGGTCATGAGTTTAATGGGATACTGGACACAGGAGCTGACCTTAGCATCATATCTCGTCAAGAATGGCCAAAACATTGGCCATTACAACAAGCCACTCAAACACTTCGAGGTCTAGGAGTGGCGACTAATCCCCATAGAAGTTCTATGATATTAGATTGGAAGGATCCTGAAGGATGTGAAGGAACTATACAGCCATATGTATTGGATCATCTTCCTATAAATTTATGGGGACGAGATGTCCTAGATCAATTAGGTTTGACGTTAACAAATAACATCAATCCTAATGCACCCACTACTAGGGCTAGACAAGGCTTTAGGAAAGAAAAAAGATTAGGAAAACAAGGGCAAGGTATAACAGCACCAGTACAAATAGATCAAGGAACAGACAGACATGGGTTGGATTTTCAGAAAGGGCCACTGAGACAATCAAAATTACTTGGAAATCAGAAAGACCAGTGTGGGTTCCTCAGTGGCCCCTGACTAAAGAAAAGATACAAGTAGCCCATGATCTGGTCAAACAACAATTAGTGGAAGGACATACACAACCTTCCATATCTCCCCATAATACTCCCATTTTTGTCATCAAAAAGAAATCTGGTAAATGGAGATTATTGCAAGATTTAAGAGCCATTAATAATGAGATGGTTATTATGGGACCTGCTCAATCAGGGATTCCTCAATTGTCTGCTTTGCCAAAAACCTGGCATGTTTTAGCTATAGATATTAAAGATTGTTTTTTTTCAATTCCAATTCATCCCGAGGATAGTCCACGTTTTGCATTTACTATCCCTGCATTAAATCATGAAGGTCCTGATCAGAGATATGAATGGAAAGTACTCCCTCAAGGGATGACTAACAGTCCAACTATGTGTCAAATATATGTTAACAAAGCAATCCAGCCACTTAGAAATCAAAATCCTGAACTACAAATATTTCACTATATGGATGATGTATTATTGGCACATAAAGATAAAAACATATTGCTGGAATGTTATGCCACACTTACAAACTTATTAAAAATTATAATCTAGAGATA